ATCCAAAGACGTCTTTGTTGCTCATTGCGAAGTGAAAATTTATAGCTAAATTCTATCTTTTCATTTCACATTGTGCCTTTTGAATTTCAGACCTTGAAAGTCAAAATAAATTGACACTCTTTAGGGCTTAAGTTACAAATGAGACATCTTTATTTTTGGCCAAAAGAACTAATAGTATAGCCGATTAAGAAAGATTTTTCTTCTTTAGTATCTAATATGGGGCAAGGCAATGTGAAATTCAATGGAAGCTTTAGCTCTACTCATATCATTGCGGGAAAATTCTACTACCAGTTCTTCATCACCTTAAACGAAATAGGGTGAATACCTCTCATATTACTGATTTACTGGTAGTCTCGAAACTCTAATCAAATATGAAATAAAATGGTCTCAAACTAGTAGGTTTGTTGATTATGGTACGTCTGCAGTTAAAAGAAAGATAAGAGTGGTTATCGAAATTTACAGCTCAAAAGATACGTAGAATGTGAGGAACGGTGGGAGAATGTTGAGTAGGAACTATTATATGCTTGATTAAAAGATTGAAGGAGAGAGAGTGGGTGATGAGCTGTCATCCAAAAGAAGGCGACTCAATTGGTCGGTTTAGTGATAATTCTAACTTCGCTCACACTCGTCCAACAAGTTAGAGTAAGCTCATCAACTAAACCAGACGTACCAGATTACGCATCCCCAGTTATGCCTTTCCTTGGGTGGTTAAACGTTAATGACCCTAGACTGAAAGGTTTGGGTAGGTGTTTTTGTAACTTGACTTACATACTTACAAGCTTACATCTCATTATCTCAACCATAATTGCTTACGGACTTACGCAGTCCCGGTCAGGGCTTTTTCTTAGATCTTTAAGCATTGATAATCAGAGCCTAACATTAACCTTTTTTGATGACTCAGATTTCGGGCCGGTATCGCGTCAGCATACACACATAGGAACTCAAACAAAAGTAGCAGGACCAATGCAAAAAATGATTAGCCAAACGATTCTAAATATATATCTAGGCCTTTCATTTATTTCACTTAATTGACTTTATATAAAAGGTAAGATATAGCCCCATAGTCTTCTTGATCTTGTGTTAACGTGAGACTTTTACCAAAAATTATTTTCAGCTATGACGATGTCCATCATATGAGTGTGAAAGCTCAACCAGTTTTAATTAGAAATGAGGGAGGAGGTTTCGTGAACTGCGTCAACCTGAACGTCGTATTAAAGTCAAACGACTGCAGTACAAGTACAAGATCGACCTTCGAATCTCTTCTTTAACCACTTTGATACGAAATAAGAGTTTTCCTAACAATAGTAATAGTACTAAGAAGTAATTTGATGAGGAAGTAGCTTAAAATACTATAATAAACGTTCATAAATAGCGTAAATGACTTGCTATTCTGCCATACATAATTTTCCTCATCTTCTAGATGCTAAAAGATTGTAATCAATTGCTGACCCAAAACAATATTATCGTTGATCTCATAGAAAGTCTATGCATAATCTTTTAGATTATAGAAAAAAGAAATTGCTTTTTGGCAAAAAGGAAAGCAAAAAATGCATATTGGTTGCACTAAAATATTGACAGCTATTTACACTATTTATGCCCTAAATTCTATCAGAAATATGTCATTGAAGCATATTTACATTAAATGCAATGCAAAGATGCACAAGGGCTTCCAGAACAATTATGTCCTTTGGTCACAATCTAAGCTTCTGAGAAGACTTACGGCTGCTTTTAGCCCCATCGCGAGAGCGGATGATAACATAACAAGGTTACGAATATGAATAACCCAGATTAAGAACAAACCGGACTTCAAATAATCAGTTCAGAGTCTAGTTCACCAAAACTAAGGATACTCGGGGAAGATTGGTTGGGGTTTCTATTGTAGATAATAAGGTAAGGTTCTTAGTGCAACTTCCCAAACTAGGGAAATGTTTTACAGCAGACCAAAGGCCCAGTTTAATTATCTTTGATTAGGTCACTGTTCACATTCTTTAGACTACATCTGATTAGCAAGTTAGTAATGATAATAAACAGTAAATATATGTATCATTTAGTTGACTGCAAGAAAGCCCAAAAGCATTTTCACAAGAAAATAAAGAGGCACTTTCTAAATCAGATCAATTGTGAAAATGTAATTTGGAAACAAACCAAAGAAGTATAGAAGAGTAAATTTTTAAGCTTACTTATATTTATAACGTAAGAAATTCATCGATTTAAAAAGGAAGGATAGTAAAATAATTGGAATAAACGGTGATATAACAAATCAAGGATATTCATGACAGATCGAACTAGGAGCGAAGAAGCAATTTAAGAGAAAATCATAAAGAAGTACACCTAATGGGGCGATTCGAGTTCATCTAAATGATTTAGGAGAACAGTGAGTGGATAAAAATGACAGCTTGTCCTTATCGCTTAAAAAATACATAGGGAAATTCAGTTGCTACTTCAAGTGACCTCCATTCATACCAAGTTATGTTGCTTTGTCCTAAGAAAAAGGAGTTTCTTAGATTTTTCAGAAAATTAGCTTAGCTACCATTTGGTAAAAATGTCTATAACATCAAATATTAGAACATGTTAAATAAGAAGTTACAAAAAGACTATGATAATGGATAAATAACTCAGACAGAACACACTTTCACCGTCAAAAAATAGGTCATACTTTGGACATGATCATAGTTTGGCTTAACTGGAAGAGCGA